AAGCAAATGCTGCTGCTCTCCTTCCTGCCTCACCTTTACCCGATTCCTTCTACATTAGTGGGCTGAATTTGATTGCCTAAACAGAACCATTAAATGCCACGTGAGGTCCCCTCACGTATTCCTCTTTACCTGTGGGACGGTCACAAGTTTTTCTCTCTCTGTACACGTACCTGGGATTGCCCCAACCCAAATGCAACTCTCTGAGGTTCACACGGACCCGCTTTCTCATCCTGTCCAGGTCCCTGTGGATGGCAACCCTCCCTTCTGTTGTGTCACCTGCAGCACTCAGCTTTGCTGTGGACTCACTCGGTCTCGTCGTCGCGGCCACTGATAAAGATGCTCAGGATTACCAGGCCCAAGATGCACCCCTGGGGAACACCACGTCTCACTGACCTCCACCTGGACACAGAGCCGTTGACCACAGCCCTCTGGCTGCAACCAATCCAAACAATTCCTCATCCATCCCTCTCCATTTCAGACGTGCTGCAGGACCACGTCAGAGGCCTTGCACAAATCCAGGTAGATGACATCAGTTGCTTTCCCTTTGTCTACTGATGCTGTCACTGCATCACAGAAGGCCGTGGGATTGGTCAGGCATGACTGGCTCAGATCACTGACTTTAATATCTCTTCATGTGCTCTAACATCTCTTCCAGGAGGATCTGTTCCATGATATCCCAGGCCCAGAGGTGCAGCTTATCGTCCTGTAGTTCCCCAGGTCTTCCTTTCTCCCTTCCTTAAAGCAGAGTGACGTTTCCCTTTTCCCAGTCATCATCTGGACAGCCACAGCTTTTCAAATACGATGGAGAGTGGCTCAGCCCCCACATCACCCCGCTCCTCCAGAACCCTGGGATGCACATCGTTCAGCCTCGTGAGGCAGCCTGTGTGCTTACAGAGGGGGGTGTTTCACTCCTGTGACCCCTGCCCAGAGTTTCAAGGAACATGAGAGGTGTAGGAACCTGGTGAAGACCGAGGCACCGAGCTCACTGTCTACTTCAGCCTCCTCCATGTCTGCTTTAGTCACTTCTCCCTTCTCACCTATCAGAGGGGTACGCTCTCCTTGGCCTGTCTCTGCTGACCAGCGTGCCTGTAGAATCCCTTCTTGTTGTTTTTCACATCCCTTGCTATTCTCAGCCCATCCACTTTTTAACGCAGAGGGCAATTCCCCACCCCTCCTTCCTGGCCTATCCCTTCTGAAACGCTTGGAGCCCTCAATCATCGTATTCCAGTTGTGTGAGTCATCCCACCACGCTTCCGCGTTAGCAATTAAGTCATCATTTCCTAATTGCAGCAGGATTTCCACCTCCTCCTACTTCCAACCCACGGCCAGTGTCTCAGCCCCTCATCTGTGCACCCTGGGCACTGTCAGCTGAAACCGCAGCGTGAGGAGGGCACAGTGCAGCACCAAGCCAAGTCATGGCAAACGCATTTTGATGCATTGATTGAACGCAGTCTGGTGTGGAAAAAAAAAATAAATGCATCCACGCTTTCCGTTTTGATGCAGGAATTTGAGAATAGTCTTCAAAATTGCAAAAAAAAAAAAAAAAAAGATTCATGTTTGCGACTGCATTTTCAGTTGATATAAACACACGACCTGCAGGTTTTCAGATGGAATGTGCAGTCGGGTCTCCGACTCAAATGTTTGGTCGTGTCTTTTTGCTTGGCTTTTATCAGGCCTCTGTTAACAGAGAGAAATGTCCCCTGGCTTTGCTGAATGTTGTTGGAGACCCAGCATTGGGTGTGAGCACAGTGGTGACAGAACCTGCAGGTCAGTTCTGCTGGTGGAGGTTTTGACAACGCGGCCTCTTGTTTGTTGCTGGTGGAAACTCACTGCTGATGGTGGTGATTGGTGAAAAATACTGTTTTGTAGCTGAGAATTTGCTCTGTCAAGCAGAGCTACTGTGCTCGTTGTGGTTTCCAAGGGAATAAATAGGAGGCATTAGTTGTGGAGTGATCTATGGCCCGTGGCAATTCCTCTTCACTCAGCGTAGAAGGTTGGACGTTCTAGATCACAAAACTCAAAGCCCTGAGCTCAAAACCATCCACACAGCTATTCAATCAGCAGGTCTGTTCTCCTCCTTCTGCCTCGATCCCAGTCCTTTATGAAGAAAAAGGGGAATGGAAACACAGAGCTTCTTCGTTTCTGTTTTGTTTTTACTGAAACTTCGGTCGTATTCTGCTCTTACAGAAACCATCCTGTGGGGACAGGGGAGCGTGGAGAGGCACAGCTTTGCCACTGTCACTTTGTGCTGTGCTAAGAAGCAGCTAAGTTTCCTCGTGGTGATGGCAAAAGTAATGTAAAATGGAAAGAAGCTTTCAGCTGGTGGTGTTCTGTAAGGCAGTGAGGCAGCACCGGGTTGCTTCTCAGTACTGGGGTGCTCCCTGAAGGGTGAGGTGAGGCTGAGAATGGAGTCAAATGGGCCAAGGGCACGGGGGAGAAATGCAGAACAACGCCCTGTCTGGCATCAAGAGGCTGTATTTAGAGGGAGACTATAAACAACATGAAGAGCGACTGGTTATACGGTCTGATAATAGGGAACGGTTTTAAACTTAGAGGGGAGGTTAAGGTTGTAGGTTAGGAGGAAATTCTTCACTCAGAGGATGGGGAGGTGCTGGTACAGCCTGCCCAGAGAGGTTGTGGGTACCCCATCCCTGGAGGTGCTCAAGGTTGGGTTGGATGGGACCCTTCCTGTCTGTCCTACTTCCTGTGATTGATGCCATTCGTAGTTGGTGCGTCCCATTCAACTCTTCTTTTGTGCCAGGACAGGTTCAGTTTTCTCACATTCCACAAATTTAGCTTAAGAAAATGCAAATCTTTGGGATGAAAGGAGTGCACCTCTGCGAGCAGTAAAAGCACTTTGTATTTGAATTACGGATTCAAATTAGTTAATTAAGCATTAAGGTGGGGAAAAACCAGTCTTGGCTGATCTGCTGCCTGTGGGACAAGTCCTCATTCTCAAAGCACCACTGAAATTTTATACTCAGTGGAAAATCCCATCCCTCTCATCCTTGAATTCTCTGTATCCACAGGTACATGAGAAGGAGCAATCAAGCCCTCTGTGAACTGTGACTGTATTAATTGTTGTGGGGTGCTGTAAGAGACTGAGAAGCAAGAGGGCTAAATGTCCCAAATGCTCCCTAGAAGAGTGAATTGAGAGCACAGCGCTAAGAACATAAGGAGCAGTCGGAGGAGAGGCCTATTAAAATGGAAGTAACATCTCTCCAGTGCATCTGATCTCATAAAACTATCAAGATCTGGTGAGTAACAATGGGGGCTTAATGGGGGAGAGAGAAATCTCCCCAAGTACATCTGCATACATGGTTAACTGGCAGTTGTTTGGGCAGGGAGAGAATGAGACCAACCTACAGCCCCTCCAACCCGCTGCTCTTGGGAAAAGCCAAACCCCAATCACGTTGAAGGGGGCACGACGACCACCTGGACCCCAGACTCATTTACAACCAGTGACAGAACTCCTCCTCGAGTCGTGACAGAGGATTTCGAGAGACTGAGTGTCCCTGGTCTGCACCCCTTCTATTTGTGGCCATGGTTGTCATCACCCACCTGGTGTTTTCCTCTTAATCAGCACCCACCTGGTGTTCTAATCTTTTCCAGGTCAAGGAATTGTAACACTGAGGTTTACTGTGGCTTATACACCTGAACGAGACATATGTCAACGCAGCAGTTGAGCCTATTTGTCACACAGCCCCCATCCTACCCCCTCCTCTAACGAGAGGGAAAATGCTGCTTGCTGTTACTTTGCCTTTTGTGTGAATTCCTGTCCCAAGGGAGTGCTTATATTGACTGCATGTTCTGGAAGGCCAAGTGGGGACAGGCCCAAATCTTGCACAGTTGATGAAACTGAGCAATGAGCAATTTGTAACGAGCTGGAGCCTCCACCCTCATATCCACCAACACCTCATAAGCCTCTGCAGCTCCTGTTAGCATCTAGGAGCTCCACTGAAACTCTGGTTTGGCCCATTAATCTATGCTGTAATACAGGTTTGTTGGTCTCAAGCTCCACTACAGCCGTTCCTGTGCTTGACCACTGGTCCTCACAATGTGAGAAACAGGTAGGAAAGCTCCCTGTCACTCCACTCTCCTCCAGGAGTTCATAAACATGAATCAGATGTGAAAAAAAAGGACAGCAGAACCCTCCACATTCCTGGCATGCCATGAAGGGCTGTGTGTTACACTCGAGGGAGAAAAGAAACCAACCAACACAATTTTATTGAGTTTCAGACTCTGAATGAAGAGAACAGGGCTGCGTGCTGCTGCTTAATGCTTATTCCCCAGTTATTCTCTTATGAACAGTAACTCCAACATGATTTTTTCTTTTTCCTCCAAGAAAGCAGCTTACTGTCCCTTCCACAAAGCTGATTCACCTGAGCGCACACGGGGCATCTCAGTGTGCGCGGCCACATTCTGGTGGTGACGTGGACACTGAGACTTGATTTATGCTTAGAAAGTTCTGTGTTTGTTAGGCAGAAGCTAATTGCTTGCAGCTGGGAACCTGCTGAACCAGTGCAGTGTTCAGGAAGGAGCAGCTCACGTTCCTCCTGCTCTGCGAAAGCTGGAGATGTTTCTTCCATCTTAGCTTTCTTCCTCCTTGCTTCATGCAAAGGCAAAACTGGAGCTGTCAAGATCATCTAGGGAACAGTATGAGAACTACCAGATTCGGGTGCAAATCTAACCAATCTAGGACCAGAGTTTAGAGACAGGTTGTTCATTTGGTGCTCATTTATTGTCAATATCTACCCGCCCCTTCGTAACCAGGAGTTACTTTGTGGAGCCCTTTTAATTGACGTGCATAAAAGTAGTGATGATGGAGGCACATTTTAAATGCTGAGCACGACGACCAGTTGATTGCTGTGTCCCACTCTCTGTAACCTCACCCCCTGTGATCTCCTTTATTTTTTCCCCAATTGCTTTTAAACCCGAAGCACCCCAGAACATATTAGGAATGTTCTCGATACGGGGTTTCGCTTTCTGTTCATGTAATTTCCTTTTGTGTTTCTTCAGCGTGTTCTCACGTTTATTCCTCCAATTTGTTCTCCAGCTCATCTTTCTTGTGTTATTCTTCATTTATACTGCAGAGTTATTAGGGACAAATGCAGCTCACACCATAAGCAACGATGGTGAATGTAAGAAGCCCCAAAAGCTGGAAGAGCTCTTAAAAGCCCAGCATTATTCAGCCACCTGTCCTCATAAATACATTCCTCTCTCCTGCCACAGCTAGTGACAGCTAATAGTAAGAGGTGCAATCAGTGACAGGTGATAAGGAGTTTTCTCCCTCTTGAAAAATGCTTTCTGTTTAACTGATTTTCATAATATTTGCATTAAGATCCAGGTGCAGGACACATACATAGATTTAGCGAATCAGCATGGTGCAAGATGTTTGAAAATCTTTTTTTTTTGGCCCAGGAAGGACGTGCTAGCTAGAATCTCATAGCAATGTACATTAATTAAAGCCAGAAATGCTTAAAAATGAGAGCTGGCGATGCAAAGTAGGTAACAACGCGGTAATTCTTTAACCACGACTCTTGTGGATGTTTAAGTTGAGACTGATGTTTCTTCTCCTAGAATTGTGGTGCTAAGCAGTATGGGCAATGCATCATGATCCTATTTCCAGCAAGTTATCAGTTCCCTTCACTTGACATTCTGTTCAGTGCTCAGTCTTAAACATTCACAGGCGTGTGCATCAGGCTTACCAGACTCAAACCCTCCTGCATCTAATGGGAAGAAATGAGAACCTCCACGACCTGAGCAGTAGGTAAAAAAAGTAGAAAGTAGATCAGTTAAGTGTCTGCATTACCTGGATGGACCTCAGAGAGATGGAATGTTTGCACCACGCGAGACATCAGTTCCAAAGTCAAAGGATACAAAGGCGAAGAAGTGGGCAAAAAAAATCCTTGCTAACTGTGAAATAAATCACTTCTTGTTTCCGAATTCACACCCAATCAACGGATCCTTCCTGAGAAATCATAAAGGAAGGGAGATGAAAGGGTGAAAGGTGCCTGATGTCCCTGTGAGTTGGGGCAGCTGTGACTTTCATGTCCTGCTCCTGTCCCCTGACAGGATTGTTGGTTGCTACAACCAACAAGAACTTAAACACCCATCCTGTGTCAGTGGGCATCATCACCACCATCCTCTTTAAGCACTGAGCCAGTGCCACGTGTCCTTTTATGCAGAGACTGAGTCTGTGCTATGATTTTATATTCAGCTGATGGACCAAAATTCAGCTCAAGCTGCAGAGTCCATGCAGGGAACAGAAGAGCCTCAGCAACTGAGAATTCTGGACACTGTGTGAAAGCCTTTTAGGTAATGTAGGCATGTCTACTGAAGATCTCAAAAGACACAGCAACACGTGTAACCATTATCATCCCTTACCTCTGGACTCAGATTGATAAGGAGATTAATAATTCATCTTCTCTTGAGATAAAGCACACTGAATATGGCAGCACTTCAGAGAGTGCTCTAAAGACTGGGTGCAAGCAAATCTCCAGGTGGTAGATCTCTGCGTTAGCAGCAGGTACAGAAGGTCAAGAGCTTTTTTGATAAATGATCCCTGAACTGCTTTTGGGTTTCATTGTAGGTGTTTGGACCGCAGTCTGGCCATGACACAATCCAAACCTTTGCTTTTGCTCTCTGTTTATCCACCCTGTGGATGAACAACAACTGCCCTGACCTGGGGGACTGAGAGCAGCAAAATTCTGCCTGAAGATTAAGGACACGCTCAATACTGCTAGCAGGCAACTTACAGCACCTCTCATCAAAAGCCAGCTGGAAGATGGATCGAACACAAGGGGAATCCTGCCCCACAGATCTCAAGCCCTTCCCAAGCTGAGTGGAAACACTCGGCCTGTCTTCATCGTCCAGCACAGAGCAAAGCAACCGTGGTCACGCCATGCAAACAGCTGAAGTTCTTTGCAGCTCATCAGCCCTCTGCACTCACACACCTCCATGCTTTTGGTCCCTCAGACTGGACTGCTCTTTTAAATGCTGCTTCAAGCCCAGCTCCACGCAAGCAAAGCATCACAGAGAAATGCATCTTTCTGAAGGAGCGGTCGGGTGAATCTTGTGTGGGAGGAAAGTTCTCATTTCTAAACAGACGAGGCGTTGCTGTGTGCACGAAGCTGTAGTCTGGCCAGGCCAGAGAGCGCTAAGAAAGGGTGATGCAAAAATAGCACAGGCTGATTCTGAGCATGCAGAAAGTTCATCACTCACCACAGAGTGAGTTCCCAGCACGTGGCGACGTTTTGTTTGTCTCCAGATTGCGTGTAGCCCTCTGTTGGTTGTCTCTGTGGGCTGATGCAGGGCCAGAGCTCCCGGTGGCTGAGTTCCTCCATTCTCAGAGCAGACAGCAGAACTGCAGCTGTGGTCCTGCTCTGCCCCTTGACTTCACCATCAGCCCTACATCCAAGCAGGGACATGTTCTCAATTGTGAGCCCAGAGAAAATGTTTTGTGGGACAGAGGAGTGGGGAGAGGCGCTAGTTTACTTCTACTGCAAGGAATGAAACTGCAGTGCTGTTTCCTTGCGGTGACAACGGCAGCGATAGTGAGTGCAAAGAAGTTTTCTGCTGTTGGAGTTCTGCAGGTGATGGAGAGTGTGTGGCTGCACTCAAGGCTTTGGGTTGTTTGCAGGCTTCTCACTGCTGGGATGCTCCCTGGAGAGTGAGATTGGGCTGAGAATGCAGTCTAAAGAGTAAAGGAGCAGTGGGGATATGTGTAAAGCACAGAAGAGATGCCCTGCCTGGTGCAGAGAGGTTGTATTTGAAGAGATCTTGTAAACAAGATGGACAGTGATTGATTACACAGTTTGGCAGTGGCAGGACAAAGAGAAAGGTTTTAAAATAGATGTGGGGTGATTAATGTCAGACGCTAGGAAGAAATTCTTGATTCAGTGTGTGTTGAGGCTCTGGCACAGGCTGCCCGGAGAAGCAGTGCATGCCCCATCTCTGGAGGTGCTCAAGGATGGAACGTAAGATTCTATGATTCTATCTAGGTATAGATAACTGTATTATCTTTAAGATCCCTTCCAAATCAAACCTTTCTCTTTTATGACTCTGTGATAGACCGGGGGTGGTCAGCAGTTTGGAGGAGACAGAGCAAGGAGGACAGCTGACCTAAAGAGACCAAAGTGACACTGCATGCAGAATGAGGCCATGATCAGCAAGGAGATGTGGGGAAAAGAGGGAGAAGGGAGAAGTTTCCTCCCTTCAGGAAACAGGAAACGCGGACCATGCTGAGGGCTCTACGTGTCCTGAAATAAAAGCGGTGTCTCTGCTGACGCAGTAGATGCACCATAGGCTGCATCACAGCCTCTCGCTGTGAATAACTCTCCATCAGCTGCAGAAGCACCACAGGACACGTCCGAGGCTCACAAGACAAACCTGTGACCATCTGCACCCAGCTCACAGCAAAGCAGGCACCGGGAGAAGAGATCTCCAAAAGATGTGGGTGCAGACAGGATGGGCCACGCCGTGTCCTCGTATCTCTGCCCTCCTGCTGCTGGTGCTTGGTGAGTTGGGGATGCTGTGGGGAGCAGGGAGCCCTGCCTGGAGCAGGAAACCTACCAGTAATATTCTCAGGGTGGTGCTGAGGTTGAAGATGAGTAGGAACATGTGTGTAGGCATGTAAAAATTTGAGAATGAGGAATGCTGTCTGAATTTGAATTTGAGGAGATTGCATCTGGAACCGAAAACACATCTGGACTGGGCTTAGATATGCTGAGAAGGAGATGGAGGAGAGGCAGTATGCAAAAACACAGATGAGATTGCTCCTACTCAGCAACAAGGACATGGGCAGGAACATGTGGGTGAGCAGGACATTGTCCCTCTAACCAAAACCCTCTCTGTCTCATGGTGCAGGTACTGGTGGGAGCACACAGAACATCTGCAGCTCCAGGACTGATGGTGAGTGTGAGAATGGGTCCAGAAAATGAAAACGTCGTGGGGGAGGAGATGGAAAGTGAGAAAGGAATCTTTCCCAATGAATTCCCAATGTCCACCCCTGGAGTGCTGATTGTCCATGCCTTGGGATACAAGGTGCTTTTCAACTACTGATGCTGGTGGAATCCCTGTGCCATCTCTCCAGGTGCTCTCCAGGCTCCTGTCCTGTACCTTAACGCATCCAGTGCTCAGGAAGGGGACGTTGTCCTGGCTCAGTGTGTTCTTCAGGACCAGTTTCCTGCTACCCGAATTGTCTTCTGCAAGGATGGGTTGGAGGTGTACAGCATGAAAGCCCAAGAGGGCAAGGTCATCAACTCCATGCTGCTGAGCATCACTGAGAGAAGCAGTGGGACTTACAAGTGTTTGTACGAGCAGAGGAACGAGAAAAACTGGCTGAGGAGCTCTGTCCTCAGTGCTCCCTGGGACCTGCATGTCACAGGTGGGACATGAGATCAGGGTGGTGGGGACACAGGTGGGACTGAACATCCCATGTGCAGTAAGAGATGTCATAGGGTGGGGTTGGTTCTGGAAGGATTCCCTTCTCCATCCCTCGCTGCAGAAATGGGGCTCTGCAGTGCCCAGGAAAAGAAAGGAAAGATAGGGGGTGGCCATGGAGCCTTTGAAGAGGGGTAAGGATGCTTCAAGGATTGTTGCAATATCTTTATGAGTGTATGGAATGGAAATTGGAGCGATTTCCAGGAGTGAGATTGTTCCTTACTGTGTGAGTTCTCACTCAGGAAGAAGATGTTGCTGTGGCCATGGTGTGGGGATGGCCAGATGTCGGTGAGCTTTGGGGTCTGGGTGCCCCCACCTTCAACAAAGCCACCAAAAAGAGCCTTTAGATGACAGCAGGAGGGGAAACACAGGATGCAGTCTTGTAAATTTGATGCTGCCATCCCATCTAGGCAGGGCAACATACTAGCCCTTTCTTATCCCCAAGGGCAAGGAAAGAAGAGGGCTGTGCTGCAGTATCATACAATGCACAGCTGCATCTCTGCCATGCATTTCTTGATCCATCATAGTTTCCATAATCGATACCCATGTGGAAGAGAACCCGCATCGTTCCACGTGTCTCAGGGGCAGAGCTGGCTGAGTGGACTCCTGCCCACGGCTGCAAGCTGTGCCCCTACCAATGCATTCAGGAGCTGTGTTCATGCAGAGGTGAGAATTCAGGGGATACTCAGCCTATCCATTTGTGCCAACAGGCCACGTGTCCGGCTCCACGGAAGGGACAGCAACTGCTGGTGAGGCTTTCCCCTTTACTCCTGCAGTCCCCATGCATCCCAATCTTCCCTCTCGCTCTCCTTTGTCCCCATTTTGTCACTGCGTCCCCAACACACCCCAGTGTCCACATCACTCCCTTCGGACTCAACCGCACTCCATCAACCCCAAGCTCTCTGTCCCCACGCCTCCAATCTGTTCCCAGACCCCAACAACCAGCAGGCCTCCGCAGTCACTGCGGTGGCATCGGTGACTGTCATCCTCCTCCTGTCTGCAGCGACCTTCTGGACCGTCAAGAAAGGTGAGGGCTTGTGGGAACTGTGAGGGATCCATGAGGCTGTCACAGCTCTGATGTGGGACATTTCTTCTTGCAGCTACCTGCAGGGAGAGGTGCCGAAGGTGAGCAGTAATGGCCTGGTCAGGGCTGGGGGATTCAGGTGCAGCTGGGACCCTGTGCAGGGCAGCATGATCTGCGGGTTCCCCCAAGATAAGATGGGATTTCCATCCTGTTGGGGAAGAGAGCATTTCCTCATGGGAATATTTCCAGCAGAACATGGGCACCTGGTGGATGAGAGATTGCCGTGGGTTTGGATCGAACGCAGTGCCCAATGCAAGGAGGCATCATTTAGTGAATATCCCCAGCAAACACACAGCCCAAATCCATTTCCCTTTCCTCTCCAGGCAGCAGCACGTTCCCAGCCAGCAGATGGAAGCCACCGACTATGGAGAACTACACTGTGAGTGCTGGGCACCTCTTTTCCATGGGGATCCCCTTCCCATGAGCTCCCATTCGCAATCCCACCAGTTCCTTTCATGATGGGACTCGCAAAACTATTCATCAAGGGAGAATTTCTCCGTGCTGCTTTCATCCCAGTGCTTGTGGTGACAAATCCCACATCCATGGTGGATCTCTCAGTTCAGACTCTGATGTTCACCTTCTTCATTTTCTCCTCCCTGTGGTGTTTGTTTCAAGCCCAGCCCAAGGCTCAGCCCCACACTGGAGGATGCTTACAGAGACAGGGGTGGGGAAATATCTCAGAGGTGGCTCTGTAAGTGCAGGCAGCAGCAAAAGGGAGGATGCTGTGGTTGGGGGCAGGGGATGTAACCCCACCACGCGTGCACGTTGCTCTGCATGCAGCTCGAATTTCATTGCAGAGCAGCAGGCTGAGATGTAAAGAGAGAAAATGCCTCCACCAATGGGAAAATACCCCAAAGCCCATCATCTCTGCTCCTGCGTATCTTCCTGCACAGAGTGGGCAAACGGGGTTGGGCAGTCAGAGCAGAACCCATCATCTGCTGCCCAAACCAATGGTGGTTCTCCCCTGTTCCCATATTGGTACTGAGCACTCACGGTGTATTTGTTCCCCCACAGATGCCACCATTGTCCACTATCAAAGGGACAAGGTGAGTTGGAGTCCTTCCCCCTGGAATTGAAGTGATACGCTCCTCAGACACGTCATGGTATTGTTTGTACACCTCCTCATGCATCTCCTGGTCTTACGTTCCTTCTGCTTGCAGAAAAATGGCAAATCACGAGATACTTTTTCCAGCCACACATCACACTCTCCTCTCTGACTTCTGCAAACACCTCCCCCCGTTGTGCAGAACTGCAGCCCCTTGTTGCTGCTGCCAGAATTGTGCGGTTCCTCCTCGGAAGCTCCAGAAATGGTTCTATTTGAGGAGTTGGAAGAACATTTCTGAGAGTTGGAAAGAAAGCGAAGGGGGAAAATCTTGCCAACAATTATGAAGAAGAGGCTATCTAGCAAGGAAGTGCTGCCCCAGATGTGCTCTTATTTTTGCTAGCTGTCTCCTGCCTGCTTCTTCCTGCGTGCGTGGCTCCTGGTGCACCTGGAGTCTCCTCGTTCAGGGCCTGCAGGCTGTAGCTGCAGTAATTGGGCTTTTCTTTCCCCTCCAGCCTCCTGTGAAGCAGATAAATGACAGCAGAGCCCTGTAGGCTACAGCATGGCAAGGGCCCTGGGACTGGGTCACGGCCACTGTGTTTCCTTGCACAGGGCTCCTGGGGTGTAACGTGGGGCAGAGAGTATTTATGGGGTTTGCTCTCATGTCACATCTGGCAGAATAAGATTTATGACTTGCTTATGTACATAATGCCTGCAATATTAATAAAACATCACAGATACACCAAAGTGGAACATAATGATGTGTCATGCAAATCCACAAGCTGCACTTTGCTGCATCATCGATCTCACCACAGTCTTGAATCAGAGGAATCATGGAGTGATGAGCTGTGGTTATGCATTACTGCTGTGGCTTCAGGTGGAAGAAGCTCTGAAGATGCCCAGGCTGGCTGTGTTTTGGTACCCGCAATGAGCCTGAAGTGCAAGGATTCTGTCACAGCCCTGTGCACAGAATGTCGCTCTCAGGGTGCATTCAGAGAGAATTACACCAGATTCAGCTGGGAAGACTAAGGGAATCTTGTGTGCCTCTGTGTCACAGACTGGCTTTGTTCTGTCACCGTGTCTGTGACTGATTAAACAGCAGAACAGAAGTGAAAATGAAAGCAGAAGCAGCAGCGGGCTGCGCACCCACCTGTGGTCTGATTCTGTACGCTTTGAAGCTGAGTGTTTGTTTGTGAAAGGCTCCGTGTGGTTTTGGGGTTTCCTCATCTCTTGGACAATGTCATGGCAGTTACAGGACTTCTACATGGAGCACACATTACTCAAAACGATGTTGAAATTTGCTCACACGGGGCCAGACGAGCCTTATGTGTTCACAGGTGTGTGCATCAGGGCTCATCAGACTCAAACTCTCCTCATCTAACGAGGAGAAATGAGTACCTCAGAGACCTGAGCTGAGGCAGGTCAGTGAAGGTGCAGCATTGCATCTCAGACAGATGAACGTTTCCAGCATGGGAGGCACAAGGGCAAAAGCCAATGAACACAAAGGCAATGCAGTGGGCAGATGTTTAGAAAAATCTTTACTTCCTGACTGTGAAATGAATGACTTCTTGTTTCCTAATGCACACCCAACCAATGGATTGTTGCTCAGAGATCACACAGCATCACAGAATTGTAGGGGTTGGAAGGGACCTCCAGAGCTCATCGAGTCCAACCCCCTGCCAAAGCAGCTCCTACAGCAGGTCGCACAGGTCGGCATACAGGCAGGTCTTGAACATCTCCAGAGAAGGAGACTCCCCCACCTCCCTTGGCAGCCTGTTCCAGCTCTCCGTCACCTCACTGTACAGCCGTTCCTTCGCACATTGGTGCAGAACTTCCTATGCTGCAGTTTCCAGCCGTTTCCCCTTGTCCTGTCTCCACTCACCACTGAAAAGAGTCCATCCTCGCCATTCTGCCCCCCACACCTCAGATACTGATAGACCTGGATCAGGTCCCCTCTCAGCCTTCTTTTCTCAAGGCTGAACAGACCCAGTTCACTCAGCCTTTCCCCATAGCAGAGATGCTCCAGGCCCTTCACCATCTTCATGGCCCTCTGCTGGACTCTTTCCAAGAGATCCCTGTCTTTTTTGTACTGGGGAGCCCAGAACTGGACGCAGTGCTCCAGATGAGGCCTTACCAGGGCAGAGCAGAGGGGGAGGATCACCTCCCTCGACCTGCTGGCCACGCTCTTTTTAATGCACCCCAGGATGCCATTGGCCTTTTTGGCCACAAGGACACACTGCTGGCTCATGGCTGACCTGTCATCCACCAGGACACCCAGGTCCCTCTGCACAGAGCTCCACTCCAGCAGCTCATCCCCCAACCTGTACTGCTGCATGCAATTATTCCTCCCCAGATGCAAGACTCTACACTTGCTGTTGTTAAACCTCATCCGTTTTTTTTCTGCCCAGCTCTCCAGCCTGTCCAGCTCTCGCTGAATGGCAGCACGGCCTTCAGGCTGTCAGCCAATCCTCCCAACTTTGTATCGTCAGCAAACTTGCTGAGGGTGGCCACCATCCCCTCATCAAGGTCATTGATGAAGATGTTGAACAAGACCAGACCCAGCACAGACCCCTGAGGAACACCACTGGTTACAGGCCTCCAACCAGACTGCACCGCCAACAACGACTCTCTGCGCTCTGCCAGTCAGCCAGTTCTCAACCCACCCCACTGTCCACTCATCGATCCCACACTTCCTCAGCTTTGTTATAAGGATGTCGTGGGGGACAGTATCAAATGCCTTGCTGAAATCAAGGTAGACTACATCCACTGCTCTCCCCCCATCCACCCAGCCAGAGACAACATCATAGAAGGCCACCAGGTTGGTCAGACACGACCTCCCCCTGGTGAACCCATGCTGACTACTCCTGATAACCTCATTTTCTTCCAGTTGTCTGGAGATGACATCCAGCACTGCTGTTCCATCACCTTTCCAGGGACAGCGGTGAGGCTGACTGGCCTGTAATCACCTGGATCTTCCTTCTTGCCCTTTTTGAAGACCGCAGTGACATTGGCTATCCTCCAGTCTTCAGGCACCTCCCCCGTCCTCCAAGACCTCTCAAAAATGATCGAAAGCAGCTCAGCAATCACCTCTGCCAGCTCCCTCAGCTCCCGTGGATGCATCCCATCTGGTCCCATGGATTTATGAACATTGGTGTTGCCTGGGTGCTCTCGGACCACCTCTTGCCTGACTGCAGGGAGGTCTTCCATTCCCCAGACCCTCTCACTCACCTCCAGGGTCTCAGATTCCCGAAGGGGAGCTTTCTCACTGAAGACAGAAGCAAGACGGAATACAAGAAGGTATTGGATACAAAACCATAAAAGGTGTCTGGAGGACCTCCAAACTGGGCAGGCGTGACTTTGATGCCCTGCTCCTGCCCTCTGGCAAGGCAGTTATTATAACCAACCATCTCCATCCTATGTCAGTGTGCTGTTCAGGGGCACCAACATCTCCAGCAGCATCTTCTTCTTTGCGCTGAGCGAGTGACTCACGTTCTTTTAAGTAAAATCCATGTTAAAATTTTGCATTCTGCTGATTAATCAAAATTTGGCCCCATCTGCAGAATCCATCCATGAAAAGACTCAGCAACTGAAATTCTAGACGTTGTGTGAAACTGTAGGCCTTGTTGATAAGTCAGGCAGGTTTGGTAAGGAAGATCTCAAAAGACACAGCAACGCTTGCTACCAATTAACATTCCTTATCTCTGGACTAAGGTTGATAAGGAGATTAATAATTCCTTTCGTCTTGAGATGGAGTCTGGCCAGGCCAGAGAGCGCTAAGAAAGAGGGATGCAAAAATAGCACAGGCTGATTCTGAGCACACAGGAGGTTCATTGCTCAGCACAGAGTGAGTTCTCAGCACACGGCAACGTTTTGTGGATCTACAGATTGCACCTATCCCTCTGTTGGGGGAATCAGCCTCTGCCCAGGACTTAACCTCCTTGTCTCCTCCATGTCTTACCTGCCATAGGAGGGAAGCATCCTTGTGTTGCAATTAGATGCAAAGGGTTCGTTGGTGTTACAGGGAGGAAGAGTTGGATGTCCACTGCCCATAATCAACACTGAGCCTTATTTCAGAATTAAAAATGTATTTCAGCTATTGTCAATTAGGAAAGGACTCCACATCTTAAGTCTGTAGATCAAAGGGAGTGAACTCTGAACAGTGGAACTGAAATGAAGACTGAAGCATTAAAGATTAACTCCTGGTACAGCTCTGCCTGAAGGTCAGCTGCTGTTTTATTGTAATGCCAGCACTTTCTTGTCAAGGTGCATTGTAAATGGGGACTCTTTGTCCTTGGGTCTTGGCAGATATCACCGAGAGAACTTGGTTTGAAATGGGGGTGACTTTGAAGATCATGCCTTTGAATGCAGGTGTTCTTGGATTTTCATTGGACTCACCTCTTAATATTACCTCTCACAACTGTTTCTTCTTTGAAATGTGATGCAGCAAGCACTGTTACATGGGTTGATAGAGACAGGACAAGGGAGAATGACTTTAATGGTTTTAACACAGGGGAGATTTAGGTTAGACATTAGGAGGAAGTTTTTCACACAGAGGGTGGTGATGCACTGGAACAGGTTGCCCAAGGAGGCTGTGGATGCCCCAAAACCTGCAGGCATTCAAGGCCAGGCTGGATGTGGCTCTGGGCAGCCTGGTCTGCTGGTTGGCAACCCTGCACATAGCAGGGGGTTGAAGCTTTTCAACACAGGCCATTCTATGATTTTATGAAGTATTTTTAGCCTGCCTTAGAAACAAAACTGAATTTTCTTCAAGAAAGAGAAGAGAAGAAGGAGGAAGAAAAAGGCTGTCCTTGGTGTCAGGGAGTACTCAAAAGTAATATAACATACACGAATCCATGGAGCCCAACAGGCTGCATCCACCAGGTCTGAGGGAGCTGGCTGATGTCATTGAAAGACCACTCTCAGTTATCTTTGGAAGTTTCATAGCAGTTTGGAGAGAAGGAAGAGAGCAAACATCAACTCCAACTTCAAGGAAGGCAGAAGGAAGACTCAGGTAACTACAGGCCAAACCTTTTCATCACAGACCCTGGAAAGGAGCTGGAGAAACCCCTCCCCCAAACAAAACAAGAATGTAATTGAGTGCAGTCAGCATGGCTCTGTGAAGGGCAAATCATGCCTTATTAATCCGAAAGGCTTCTACAACGAGGTAACAAACTTGGTAGATGATAAGAAAGCAGAGGGAGCTGTTCACCTGCTCTTGGTGATAGGCTTTTGATTCTGTCTCCTGTAATATCCTCGTGGAGATACTGAGTGGAACATTCAGTGAAGTGGAAATCAGTTGAACAGCCAGGCTGTGTTGGATTTTCATGCCCGTATAAAGGGGAGAGGATGACTTTCGTGTGGAGCAGGTTGATCTTAAAGGACTGCAGCCACTGGAAAGGACCCACACTGTGGGGAAAGGTCCCACAGCAGGGAAAAGTGTGAGGAAGAATCATAGAATCACAGAATCACAGAATCACAAGGTTGGAAATGACCTGCAAGAAGGAGCAGAAGATAATTATTTGCTCATTCCCTGTGTCCTGTGCCACTCAGTGAGGAGTGGGGTTGGGAATAAAAGGGTGAAACTGAGTCCAAGAAGGGCAGCAGAAGTAAGAAAAGTGTTGGTTCAATTTTGTCTCTGGTTCTCACCACTTGTATCTATTTTAATTTGTGACAAATTGAATTTTCACCAGAGTGAATCTGCTTTATCTGTTGTGACAACTGCTAAGTGATCTCCTTGCCTTTATCTCAATTCATGACCTTTTTCATCTTCTTTTCTGTGTCTTGAGGAGAGAGGCGTGGAAAACAGCTGGGTGGGCATCTGGCATCTGGACAAGACAACAAACTGGGAAGAATGTCTTCAACATCAGAATTGTCCTGTTGCCACTTAGATATACCTGGAAAGGCAAATGGGAAACTGATAAAGCTCAGAAAGAGGAAGAACAAAGTCCTACCAACGGGGAAGAACGGCCACAGATGCCAGCACCACCTTCTTTCATGTGATCCATAATTGCCTTTCTTTCAGTGCCATGTGCTGTTTATATTTAACTGTGCAGTCAGAGTTCCAGATGAATTTATGAGTTCACCGGTTTCTGTACAGGTAAATTCTCATATATCCATTTCTTTTTTTTTTTTCATTTCCTTCTGATCTGTATCTTCAAATTATGTTTCCATTCGTTGGCTTCTGTGGAATAGACTCCTATTTTAAAAATAGTTATATTTGGTTTAAAGACGGGATTCATCTGTCCGAATGACTCCACCTGTGGTTCAGCTGACATTTGGGATGCTCGGCCTTTGTCTTGAGACCTGGTGCTAAATTCCTTCAGCTGAGGCACCTGGTGACTGTACTGTCACCCCAAAATGCAGCAAATGTCGCATGCACGTCTGTGTAAAAGTCACAGGACGGGGGGGAGGAGGGGAGGGAGGAGAAATACTATGGATAAAGGCTCATTGGATGAGATGAGGACAAGAAATGAATGCGTTAATTATTGTTACTACTGGCACTGGCTCAGTATAGGGGAGGTTAATGCAATTTATTGGTAATTGATAGAAGACTGCAGAAAAGTGAACTAAAGCAAACTAAAACCACCTTCCTCCCATCCACCCAATTCTGCCTCGTCCCCTCAAGCAGCACAGAGGAGTAGGGCAAATATGGTGGTGCAAAACACTTAGAGGAGAAAGCCAAGTGAGCTGACCGAAGGTTTGTCACGTATCTTGTGCACAGCAATAAAAGCTCAGAGAAAGGAGGAAAGTGAAAGAGTTGATGGTTACAGAAAAATAAACATGCGCTCAGCAAGGCGTCAGCTACTCAGGTGCAAACATCCTGCCAGCAGGAAAGATCAAGCAGAAGTATAGGATCAGTGGCTATGTTTTCATCATGTGGTTTTGTTTTGGCCACTGCTTGCTCTAAATTACCTTTCAGGTCAGATTTAAAAGCTCTGCAAGAAACAGCGTGGCAGATGAACAGTCCTGAGATGAGTTGTTTCTTCTTCTGTGTTCTGCTTCTGCTCCAGATGGCTCGTGCAGGTAAATGCCTCCTCCCTGTAATATCTGCGAGCTTCTCGTAAGCAATTAATCAATCAATCAAACAAACAAATACATTTTAAAAAGCAGTGCAGCCTTTTGCATTCCTGTATCCAGGCGCTAGGGGATGCTCTCCATTTCTGGAAGTAGTTCGTGGCTTTCAGCTGCGTTGGAAATATCCAAAGAATTTTCTAGGACGGTTTCTCTGATGAAGCAGATTTTTTATTCGCCGTTGCAAGCAGGAGAGCCCCGAGAAAACAACGGTTCCATCTTGTATCCCTATTGCCTGACGCTGAGCTCTTTCTCCCCTGGTTCCTCACTGGCTGAGTGCTGCAGGTTCACACTCTTTCTCGACTCTTCTCTAATCATACAAACACCGGGTAGATACGGTAGACACAAATCTTTGCTTCTCAAACACACACGTCTTCATTGGTTAATTGACTTCTAACAATTGCAAGCATTTTGGTGATGACTTTTCGGATGACAGCTTTACAACATAAACACAGAGTCTTTTAATTGTTTAACCCTCCCTCTAACATTGGTGCCCCTTCACACTGGGCCGTTGTTCTGGTCGTTCATCTGTCCTTGCATAGAGATAAGGAGGATAGAGGGGAGCATCTTGGAGTCTGTCTATGGCATTCTAGCATTTCCACAAAGCAAGACAGTTCTGCTCTGCGTAAAGGCCCTGACTCTTGAAAGTTTGTTAAATGTGTTGTATTTCTATCAGTCTAATGAGCAGCCTTACAACATGTTTCCTATTTCAGGATGCTATGCTCATATAGTTTAGAACCTTCAAATTATTTGCAGCATCGTGTGAAAGCATCCATCAAGCAATTTAGTAATTACATTTCTAAAATATGTTACTAACATGTATGGTATTCTTATTTTCTACATCAGCTATTTCTAAGGACACGTTATGTCTTAATTCTTTATTATTCTGACGTTACTTACGAGTTCTTGCGTTAATTCTTAATTCTTTAGATCAAAGATTGTCCTTTTTAATGTTTAATGCAGAAACAACACTTTCATTTCCCACAACTGTCATTTCCTTCTCCTGGAAATGGAGTTCAACCCCCCTCTTCTCCTCACTCTACCTCTAGCTGTTTAATTCATTCCAGCTCCACCACTGCGGTAACAACAGTTTCATTTTTGTATAGCAGAGCAAAAGAAAACACAAATTCAAAGGAAGGATTGGATAAATTCCTATCAGCAAAATCTATCAAATGCTTCTGTAGACAAACGTGACTCGGGAGGTCCGTGCATCACTGGAAGACAGGAGAGAACAGTGTGGGAATACAACCAACCACCTCCTTGCTCTGCTCTTATCTCCTTGTGGAGTCATCCTACACTGCCCGCACTGGGAGGCTGAATTTGGTTGCCTAAACCATTTAATGCCATGTGAGGCCCCCTCCTTTTCTGCAGAAGGACGCGGGAGTCCTGTGGGTTTTGACTGAATCCTGCTTTGAAATCACAACTGAATGCTTCAATGTAGGCTTCTAAATTCAAGAGTCTAACTTTTTTTTTTTTTCTTTCCTGCTAGAAACCCTTGATGTATCCAAATTGATTGAAGCAAACCACAACCTCCTCATAGGTGTCACAGCTTTAGTCTCCATTCTCCTTCTCATGGCCATCATCATTGTGTTCTACTATTGCTTCTGTTCAGGTATGGGCATTTTCTCCCAACATCTGCAGCTTGTATGTGCTCCAAGTTCTGCTGCCCTCATTCCATCCTTATTTACACGGCATCCAGGTGGAGATGTGAAGAGTGAAGCACCCAGTCCATACCTTGCCAAAGTGTGAGGAGTAACTGCAGATGTTTGGAACCGATAATCATTCTCCCCGTCCTTTCTTATCACTGTTGGGTTCAGCTCATCCATGTGGTCCAGAGCCATAAAACCTGGCTCTGATCTTGGCAGTGCTGGTCATCTCTGAGGTGCTGACCTTCACGCTCCTCCCTCTGCACCAAAATATGCTTGTTATTTTTTTTTAATGGCTTCAGCTTCCATATGAGAGGGAAAAGGAACAAGAAGAGAGTACAACTACATTGATTTCCATTCAGTAACACCACCTGTTTGATTTGTTTGAATCAAGCTGTCCAAGCCCTAAACGATCCCAAAACTTCCAGACACCAATATTTTATGGGAAGTTTAACATTTAAGCTTTCACATCCACTGTGGAGTTTTCATGCTTTTCTTTTCTTTTTGTTTTTTTTTTCTTCTTCTTTTTTTTCAGTTAATGGTTCAAAGGATCCTGAAGGAGATCCTGAAAGAGGTAAAGTGTAGGTTAGAGTAAATGCTGATGATTACAGATGTCTTCGTTGGTACTTGATTGTGCATCTGTTTGGAGTATGCATTTCAGAGCTGCTCTGGGACCATAGGGTGTGACCCAAATGTGATTCCCAGATGCTGTAAGTAATGAATTAAATTGAGAGTACGAGAGATTTTGCAAGTTTTGAGGTGCCTGCCTTGTCTAATTTCAGACTGAAATGCAATGTCATCACCGATATCCAAGGCTCATTTGCAGAAATGCAAACACAAATGTCATTTCAGGTGTCATAAGATACTGCTTGCCTTTAAGAAGATCTGTGCAGCTGTCTGTGTGCCCCTAGCACACCTGAGCCTCTAAATATCTTTGTAAGGGAAAGTGAATCTAGGCCCACACACCCATTTGCCATCAAAGGGCAGCTCAAGGAGGCAGCTCTTCTCTCCCAGGGCAGATCAAAAGAAAGGGGAAGAGGGAAGATGGATTCTGGGAGCTTTAGTTGGTACTAAGTCGAATTTGAATGAATGCTCTGTCTTAGCAGTCAAAAAGGACTGAACCCCGTGGGTTCCTTCCAGCTCAGGATGTTCTATGATTCTATTAATCACTCGTGGAGCTGAGAATCCGTCCTGGGTGGTCAACTGAAACGAGCACATTAAATTTTTCAACGAATATTTTTTTGTTTGGATGGACACAGGAATAAGAGCACCAACCTCTGCTCTTTATTTCCTCTCTAGGGTCACTCATTCCTGACAATTCTGAAGGTAAGAGTTATGGTGCACAGAGCGGTAAAAAAATAATGTCTATGCCATATTCGACTACACCGTATTGAACTTCTGATGCGGGATCTCAGAAGCCAGTTTGTAAGACTGCATGTGTCTTCCATTCAAGTTAATATTGGCAAGAATCTCCATGGCTCTGTCATCTGCTGGATCTGCTGTGAGAGCAACAACACCACTGTAAAGGTGGTTAAAGAGTGATTTTTGTCAACTACCTCTATTTGCAAGCAGTCACAAAGGAATTTTAGTAAAAGCACTTTTCCTTTTTCCTTTTTCTTTTTTCCTTTTTCATTTTTCATTTTTCTTTTTTCTTTTTTCTTTTTTCTTTTTCCTTTTTTCTTTTTCTTTTTTCTTTTCTCTTTTCTCTTTTTCCTTTTTCCTTTTTTCCTTTT